GCGATCAGTAAAGCCTTCTCTACTTTTTTTTTGCAGCGAAACTAATCAATGGTCCTGCCAAATATTTGTACTAAGGTTTAGGTCAATACCTGCTTCTGCGAATAATTTTTCAGCTTTTTAGGTGTGTGTTGTGCCTTGCATGCGAATTTCCATGAGCTAATGATGCTTTGAGGATTGTACAAAATGCGTGCATTTGCATTATGCTCTACCGTTCAAGTGTATGTAAATAGTTGCTGCTTTTTGGTGTGATGGGTAATAAAAACGCATCCATTTTGTGCAGGACTTTAATCGATTTTGCGGCCCACGTGGGGCATTTTTGTTAGTTACATTACTTACAATAACATTTCTACTGTCGAATTCTTCTTCTTTCCCGCGGTGAATATCAAACGATATTTGTTCTTCAAATGGCTACAAAATTGAACAGAAGTTCTATATAAAATTTCATATTTTTTGTTATATTATGAGATATTTATTTGGTACAGAAACTGTTCCCCACTATCTCTCTCGTTCGCCTTCTCTCTTTCCCTATTTGATTAATACGTAATATTTCGCTTTAGGTTGCATATAAAACATGCGTTTTTTTTTTTTTTTCATACTAATTTTTTGCTTTTTTCTTTTAATTCGAAAATAAATTGAAAACGCAAACAATCCGACTTTAGCGCTTTTAAAACCACAAATACAAAGAGGAAAAAGGAAAGAAAAAAAAAAAAAAAAAACAAAAGTGCGTTTAGAATAAAACGCTAAAAGCGAAAAATAAATATTTGTTTTCTTTTGTCCTCAGTTCTTAGATGTTCTCTTTTCCTACTTTTTTTTTTTTTTGGTTCCGTTCGTTGCTTCTGTGTGTGCTTGAAGAAATGTCATTATACCTGACATTTTCATATTTCTTCGTCTAGTGACGTTCAGTGTCAACAACAACAGGAACAATAATTGCAAAAATAACAAAGATGACAACAGCAACACAGCAACAATGAATGAAGAAGAAACAAAACTTTACACACGATAAACGGAATTACAAAAGGGAAGAAAATGAAAATGGGGAACAAACGAAGAGTACCGACATACACTTCAAAGGGAAGCAAGAAAAGGAATAAAAAGGAAAAAAAGAAAACAAAACAAAAACAAAAAAAAAAACATTTGTGCCAATTAACAACAACGTACAGCTTGCTGCTATAGCTCTGCAGACAAGACAAAATTTTGTGGCATTGATTAATGTTAGTGTTTTTTCTTTATGGCGTTTTTCTTGTTCTTTATTTTTATTTTCATTTTCATTCTTTTTTTTTTTTTTTCCTAAAAAACTTTAACAAACTATGACAAAGAAGTGAGATGCACAACGAGAAGGAGAGATATCATATATATATATATATATATATATATATATCCTCTTGTAGAACACAAAACCATAATGCTAGAGAAAGGCGAACAATAGCTATGCAGGCACCTGCACATCAAGAAAAGATGATTCAAGATTGATTTTTGTGATTTCGCCAAGCTCTCGATTATAAAGTGATATTAAATTTTCCTAAATAAAGCGTAAGAATCAGGTCGCATCTGTTCATGAAGCAAAGCATATCATATATATATATATATAAATATGTGGGCAGTGAGGCTCTTTAGCTTTAAAAGGCAAAGAGTTTTACGCTCTTTTAGTTTACGAAAAAAAAAACAATATGTAAGTTTGCTAAGAGGAACAGTCGCAATACCAAAATCTATCAGTAAATAGTCTAAAAAATATTAAGCTTTGAGTCCGAAAATCATAGGAATATTGCTAAGAATCCGGTTGGGATACTGAAGCTCACCCTTAAGGAAAAGAAGTAAAAAAAGATAGAGAAGAAGAATAATAGGTGTACTGAAATATACCAATGAATAGTCGAAGGCCTTTGATTATTGAGGATCGTTGAGTTTACGTAAGTAAATGCATTATTACTACGAGTAACACTTGGAACACTAAACTATTTACATCATTAAATGACCCAAAAAAATGTCGTACCTATGACATAAGCAACTAAGTGGTCTAAAATGTGTTTGAGCCAGTAAGCAATGCAGCAAGCTTGAGTTTTCGAAAAAAAACTGGAATTTTACTAGAACAAGAATGCTTCGAACACTTGGAATATTAAAATATACCCCTAAGTAGCTTAAAAAGTGTGAAGCCTGTAATTACTGCGGATTTTCGAGTTTACTCACAAAATTGGAATTGTTTCTAAAGAGAATATAGTTGGAATGCCGGAAACGGCCTTTAAGTTATCAACAAAATATTGAACTTTTTATAATGGAGAATATTCTAGCGTAGTAAGGAAGCTGTAGTGTTAGTAGGAGGAACGGCTGCATTATTGACAAAAGCATCTAAGTGATCTAAAAATTATCGAGCTTGCGATAAGTTGGCATCGAAACTTCGCAGGTGTTCAAGGTTAAAACTAAAATCGAAGGATCTAATATGTCCCGATGCTCCTGTGATGATTACAAGTATCTTTCGGAATTTTGTTCACTTAAATAATTTTGAAATCAGGACACAACGGCTTACAATGCTCAGTAACGTCAGGCTTGCATTTCTGTAAATAAGAATTATTATTACGTCATTATTATATAAGTAAGATTATTTTAAATAAGAAAAAGTATGAGAAAATAAGACTACAATTCCTACGTGGTATAGAATCTATGTAAATAGCCATTGGAAATATGTTTGATAGCGAACGAGTTTGTAGAATATTTCTATTGCATCAATTGATAAGGAATATAAAAAAAAAACCTGCCGAATATATAAATGACCTGAGGCGAATTCTGAATATCCAAAATTTATGAGAGGCCGGGTTTTTTTTTTTTTTCTTAAATGGTATATATATATATATATATATAATTTTGGATATTTAATGGTAAAGATAGGCGAAGAATTGTAGTAGTATTAGTAGATCAGCTATATAGACTGATCGTTTTATCTACTTTATATATAATTTTTTAGTTATCGCAATTGATCGGATAGATTAGAATAAAAACGGATTTTCCACAGCAGCGTTACTGGATAAAAATCTTTTCCATGAGGTGACAATCCATTAGAAAGTGCATTGAAACGTGAATAGATAGATGAAAAGTTTATTCTGTTGATTTGTAGAGACTAAGAAAACTATGTGCAATGGTTTCTTTCGGTCAATTTAAAGGTAATTTGATGTCAATGATTAATGGCAACGAAGAAAAAAGAGAGAATGAATAAGTAAAAGCACTATATAGTGAGCCGCGGGCCACTATTAAGGACCGCATAGCATCCTACGGTTATTCGTATATCGGCTTTTCAACATAAGATGTTGTATGGGAAGTGGTCAAAGAAGTGATCCGATCCGAGCGACAATGCTTTTCCTTGGACGACGGCACATTGGGGTACCAGATTTCATCAAGATATCTTAAATATTATCAGTTACAATTTGAACCCAAGTCGGACAGACGGACAGATTGACAAACGCAGCTATTATTACGACTTGAAGGAAATTGTTAATGTTGGCAGCTTTAAATTGGCACGAGTTTGTGAATTCTTGTACAGCCAACATGGCAGGTGCATTATACCGCGTTTAAGGGTAGGGTTCGTTCGCCTATAAAATAGTGATCGATTAAATTTCTGCCTGCCTCCCTTTTTGCTTATTTGTCTATGTATTTGTTGAAATCATTGCTGAGAATACCCGAAAGAAAAAATTTGTTTCGAAAGCATTCTCTGCAAATTAAGTTCAAAATTCGTTAAAATCGCTTCACGGATACGGTCTTGGCTAGCAAGAAGTTTACAATTTGATCCTTCTTCATATTATTTGAATAATTCGTCTTTCCAAGTTTGCAAATTGGCTAAGTTAACTGTTTGATCTTCTCAAAAGCTGCGCAAATAAAACAATGCAAATGTGGTTCTTCTTCTTTTTCTTTTGCGAGTCAGTAAATCAACAGCTCATGACTTCCTGTCTTCGATCTTTGTTTGGTACTAAAAGTCAGATGAAATGTCTTGGGGAAAAAGTGTTGAAACATTTTTGTCCATTATTAAGTTTTTTCTTATCTTTAAACTAAAATTTATTTAAGTTCACGAGACCCATCTATGATCTTTTCCGCCAATGTGATTCTAATTGCTGACGCTTTTTATATAATATTCTACTGAAGTGAGTGTAGTGATAAAAATCTCACAATATTTTTCTCTTAGCCTGACCGATAACATATAATATCTATAAACGTCCATTGTGTCGGCCATTATTATATGTAACAGTTTGCCTTTTACTGTTTTGAATATCCACCAGTACGAGTATATTTTTGAAAGCTATCAATACTTCTGTCGATGTGGTTTTTTGTTCTACTATCAAAGAGAATCGTGGGACTAAAAAAGCATCGGATAAATCATATAATTCATTAAAATTGATTTCCTACTTAAGAGGGCAGCGCCACTGTAACAGTCTTACAAAAGGGTTTTGTGAAAAACTTTTTTTTTTTAATCGAAGCCAAGGTAGTAGGGTAGGTAATAATATTCGAAGAGGTTGTTCGGCGTACATTTAAATATTAAAAAAAAAAAAAAAAAAAAAAATGGTTTTGAAAAACTATTTAAAAAGGGCCGCACTGCAGCCAATTTCTGGAGATATCTTCAGTTCAAATAGCTCTGGCACATGCAGCGTAACTGGTCCATTATTAATTTAAATATACCGTAAAAATCTGAAATGAATAATCGAAAATTGCTTGAGTTATGCTGCGTGTTGTTTTTAACAAATGCCATAAAGGCATTTAAAGTTTTAGAAAGTGTTCCAAAGGCAAGTTTTCTATTACAAATAAATGCTTTATTAATTTTGACTGTTACCGTTAGATTGTAATGTCAGGACCATAGAACTACCATTGCAAGTTCAAATATTTCGACTGGTTCTCTTTCCTCGACTGTTTTTGGCTCGAAAGTGTGTCTATTACCGCAACTGTCGAAGCTCGATTCGCAAGGTGGAAAATAACGGGACAAATGTCAACAAAACCTATAATTAGGCGAATTCATAACCAACTTCGAGAAGAAGCAATGAAAACATTCGAGTCGTTCTCGGACTCATATAAAGCTATGCTAACGACCGAACAACAAAACTGGAAATGCTTTTAGGTCAACTGTCAAAGCTCGAATCGCAAGATGGAAAATAACGGGACAAATGGCAACAAAACATATAATTAGGTGAATTCATAACGAACTTCGAGAAGAAGCAATGAAAGCATTCGAGTCGTCCTCGGACTCATATAAAGCTATGCTAACGATCGAACAACAAAACTGGAAATGCTTTTAGGTAAACATTAATACTTTCTGTAGAAGCTAGCAATCATGAGATCGAACATTGGGTTACCATTTCTCGCCGTGACTTCCTGTGAAGCGGATAACCTTTCCAGCAAAAAGGGTAATGGATCTTCATCCATATATTTTAGAAGGTCTTCGTAAGCGTGCTGTAAACCAATAAAAAAAAATTCTTTCCAAAAAATTGACATTAATATTAGTCCTTAAATGAATTCTATTTCACTTTAGACTATCAAAATAACATGCCCGGCAATCCTTTATGCGTTTGCTCCGAAGTTTTAATGGATTTAAAAAAGTTTGCATAAATTTTACATTTTTTGTTTTTTTGTTTTTTTTGTTGTTTTTTTTTTGTTTGTAAATTAAGTCAACATGCCGTAGTCAATGTGTTTGCATACGTTATGATTAATGATCTCATTATAAAATTCACGTAATCACGTTAATAATGATCATTGAATTAACGACGATTATGATAATAATTATTGATGATGCCCATTAATGTTTAAGTAAACAAATATCGTTCGCAGCCATCGTTAACACATTCGCTCAATGTAAAGTAAGTTATTGAAAGCGGAGAGGGAGGTAGAATTAAATTGCGTTAGTTTTGGATGATGACTTTGCTAATGTTTTTTATTTTTTAAAATTTTTTTTTTTTTTTTTTTTTTTTTTAAATATATCTTTAAGTGCATATTTAGTAAAATGATTTAAAAGAAATACTTTTTAATTAATTCAATTAATTTCCCTTTAGTTACTTTTCTGCAGTCTTGAGAAAATCCTTTTTCAAATGTAAACTAATTTTGCAAAAAAAAAAAAAATAAAGAGAAAAAACAAAAAACAAACAAAAAATGGAAAGAAAAGTGAATTTAAATATTTACATTTAATTTCAACCTTCAGCTATTTTCTAAGCACTTTAATGCATAAGGGTGTGTGTGTGTGTGTGTGTTTGTGTTTCGTAGAATAGTGAAAACAAAGAGACAGTGCGCTTCTTTCTATTATTCAACATTAAAATAAATGTATGTTGTAATGTATATGCTTACTGGCTTGACGATATACGAATACACGTATATATACTTACACATGCATACATGAATATATATATACACATATATATATATATATATCAAACACGCACTCCCACATTTAAATACAACATCACATCATAATTACACAAATACACAATAAATATGTAATTGCGTAAAAGTTGCTATAAGTGTTTATATGTGTGTGTGTATGTGTGTATATATATATATATATACAAACATATAGACATAAATGATATGTGTGTACTTCTGTTGTGTAGTAGTGTAAATGTTATCACAACAACAACAACAACATTTTAACCTGAAACCAGGTTAAAATGTTTTTAGTTTTCTACGCTTTTCCTACGTTTCTGCCTTTCTTTACTCCTTTATAGCTCTTGGGGGACTTGCAAAACATTTCATATTTATTCGCCTGACATTTTAATACATTTATGCATAATTGTGATTATATATACATATGCGTGCATGTATATATGTATTCATATATGATGGTGTTCATGTATATCTCGTTTGCTCCTGTTCATGTTCATGTTCATGTTCATGTTTTTCTATAATTATATGATACGTTTTTGCATTTCGTTTTTTTTTTTTTTTTTTTTATTTCTCTTTATTCTCGGGTCTTTAAACGACTCATTAAGTTTTTATGTCTGTTTAACGCATTTACATATGTGCGTTCGTTTACAGTGAAATCTCTCTAAGCGGACATATTCTGATAGGCGGGTACACGGTTTTTATTTCAAATATTTTCCCATCAATATTTATCTCTTTAAAACGCTCTCAGTTGCTGTCTTTTAATTAAATCTCTATTCAAAGGCTTGCCTTAAGCGGTTGGAAAATGTGAAACAAGGGCATCTAGAATATCATGCGGCAAACTCGTGCAATTAAAAGTTTTTAATTTTTCTTTGCCCTGATTTGGAAATAGCGCATCATTCAATAAGTTCGTAGGAATGACTGTTGCCGCATTGATATGATTTTGAAGTAGTATCAGCCCTCTAGTCAAATGCATTCAATTTTCATGACGTTCCAATCATTTTATATATGTACGTTACGCACGATATTCAGTTTTTTCCATCGTTTTACAATAACTAAGTTATCGGCACTAAAGCAACTGTAGCTTGTAAAACTTGCGCACAGTTCGTTTGAATGGCGACATTTAAATTGTTTCGTCAATAGTAAGGATGTGTATATGTAATCCTACAAATTTATTGAGTGATGTGCTATACGTTGTTTGTTGCTCGAGAAGATTTACGATTTTTTCCCTTTCCTTTTTCCCAACATCACATACCGCGAACGACATCAGATAGATAGGAAACATCGAAGTTCGTGTAGATAAGAAAATTAAAGTCTTATCAGTGTGATGATGAGTTTTGCATAAAATCTAACATCGGATTTTTTGGCAGACATCAACGGCGTTGAACAATCGAACAATGATTTCCCGGATTTGGTTTTTCAAATTTGTTTTTTTTTCCCTTCTCGTAAGCCTCGAGTAAAAAGTTGAACTACCTCGTTTAGCTAAACCCTTAAAAAGATGCAGAATACAACGCCATATGGGCCCCACTATAAATATAAAGAATGCTCCTTGGGTGATAATACTGTCATTATTAGAATTAAAGACATTAGACTAATGTTTAGTGTAAAGTGATTTCAATTGCGCGATAAAATAAACATAAAGAATTAAGTATAAAGAAAAAAGGCTTTGAGGACTGCACGATCTTGCAATCGGACTCGGCGGCTTCTACTTAGTGACTGTGCATCTTTGGAACTTGACTCGTCAGCTTCCAATTGACGGCTGACTCTTTTTTTTCTGCATTTCTCTCCTTGAAACGTTCCTTTGCCCGCTTTATTATCAGCTATCCCTCTCTCCACTGTTTACTTCTCTTCTAGCCATCTCTACTTTACATAGATATGCCAAAAAAAAAAAGAAACAGAATTTCTTTATGCAGACCTCATGACTTGATATTTCAAGAAATCTACCAGGTTTAGCGGTCGCTGCGCATGCGAAAAGTAAGGGCGATCGGAACTTTTTTTCTTATTTCTTTTACAGTCATATATCTGCTCGTACATTACGCATTCTTAGTGAAATTTGATTTTTGATTTTCGCTCCAATAAAAAAAAACTTAATCTGTAGGCTGTTCTAGGAAGATGACTTCAGACGTTCAGGGTTAAGCAATGAGTTTCCTTCTGTAGGCCTTAACGGGCCGTATAGGGGTACGGAAAAGACTGCGTCAAATGTTTTTCGTTCAAATGAACTATACTTTAGCGATGAAAAGACGGAGTATCTGTAGGGGTCAATTGATTATCCTCACCTCCTACTTCTTGCAAGTAACAATTCAGGAGATTAAAATCTGGATAGCGAAGTGGCCATAGAAGAAAACAAATTGATCCTACGAAATAGCAGACAAATGTATGAATGTCGTGAAATTTTGTACGCATTGGGTAGAAAACTTTGTGGATTGAAAAGCGCTTTCAGATAGATTGGAAAGTTTCAGACGTTGAGAGGTCCAAGGGAAAACATTTGAATAGCTTAATACATATTCTTAACGAAGACCTTGCAAGGTCCTTGATTTCCCTATTTCGGTGTTGGACAAGTAGTTGCAAATATGTTCCAATTCTTTCACGCAACTATATTTTCAGCGTGAAAGTCGCAGTCCTAGATCAATATGGCTCAAGTCGAATGGCTAGTGAAAAATTAATGAAACTTTGGTCTTCTTTAGAATTTCGGAGTCGTTTTACAACTAAAAAAAAAAAAATAAAAATAATTGTAGACGCACAACTACACGTTTTGCTACCGTTTGTTATAAATATTGTTTTAGAGGAAGACCAAGTCGAACCGCTTCGCCATTGAATGAAAAGTGAAAATGATAAGAAATTTATTGGTGAAATAAAAGATGAATCTACGAAAAATTTTCATATCATTTTGATAAATTAAAAAAAAATTGTATACCAAAGTTTCCAAAATTTTGCACTTGAGATGACCAACGAAAGCAACTTGCATTGTAGACAATTTGTAGACGCATGTTCGATGTATCAATTGACTAACATAGTGATTCTGAACGCTAGTCGGCCATCCATTAAAAATGCCCTACTAATGTTTTTTTAATATCATCATTCATGTAATGACTTTTGAAAACAGGGGAAAAGTGGTCCGATTCGAGGCATTTCCAATAGTGTTTGACCTTGGGCCAAAGCATCTCGACCTACCAAATTTCGTCCGAGTATGAGGTGCAACACAAAATACCAAACAGATAAGTTTAGATCGATCGGCGTAATATAAGTTGACTTTATCCCAAGTCCTTCTATTCATCAGCACAAACTTAATATTAGCCTATAGGGTATAATTGCTTTCTCGAGCACTAAATGAGAAGACTGACTTATTGGAAATGGTTATGCAAAATAATTGTTTCCTTACAATCAAAATTCTAGTGGGAAATGAAAGTTCGCCTAAAGCAAGACATATCAAGATAATTAAAAAGACTTTGCTGTAATTTGAAAATTTAACTTAATTTTTTTTTTTTGCAAAATGTCTTATAGTAAAAACAAAAGGAAAAAATTGTATGCTAATGTGCATCAAAACATGTTGATCTAATTAATAGCTTAACTTTATAATCCACAAACAGCATACAAACCCTCTAATCCTGGCGAAAGCGATAAACGAATGGAAAGCGATCAGAACAAAACAAAATGATTAGGTTTGTGGATGAAAGGCTTTGGCAAAGTTAACACAGTATTTAGGTATAACTATAAAAATAAGGAATCACTTTATGGTTTAAAAAGGATTACTAAGCATTTTCCATACAAGTGAAAGAAATTTACGGATCATAAAATAGCGTAAATGATATGTTCTTTCAATTTCCTTTTCTTTATGATATGAATAATTCGCAATTGTTCAACACTTTCAATAAAATGCTGTTTTCCTAGTCATAATAGTTCTCTTCAATAGCTTTTCAATTTTTTTTTTTTTTCTTGCTTCTTTTTTCTTTTTTTTTAATACTCATGACGATTTGTGAATGCTTATTGGGCGGAATGTAATATTTTTGCATTTGGAAACATGATAGTAATTCCTTTCTTTCAGGCAACCCCTTTAAGTTATTAAGAAGAATGCGGAATATGTTGGAACAATACCGTATGCAGTTCATTCAATATTATT